ATCTGCCAAAGTTGAGCTCCCACAGTCTGCACAACGGGACTCGGGGCTTTGGCTGAGGGCTAAGTGGTGTGTGGACTGTGCAAACCCATGAGCTGCCTCCCAGAGAGTCACAGCACTGGGGTTTGGCCCCTGGACAAACCCAATGGGACCCCTAGGTTGTTTATAGAGGTCCAGAAAGTGTTAGGTTACTGTAAAAACTTTTGTAGAAAGAGTAGGTAGGATTGTGGGACCAGTGAGAGATAAAAATGGGAAGGAAATTTGAGCTCATAATCAGAAATCTCATCAGATTTCACAGCAGAGAAATGAATAGCATCATTAGGGTCCTGACAGCTGGATGCAGCCCAGATGTTCCAAGACAGGTTGATACACCTGTCTCCTTGTTACCAAGACCCACAACTGAGGCTAAGTGCTCACTGTGCCCAGGCTGCACCAATTAGGTCTGCTTTCTGAAAAACTGGGATGAAAACCCAGAGACCCCCTAAAGTCAAGGGTGGTCTCTGTGGCCCATGTGGTCCCTGCTCATCGTTAAGGGCCCACCTCAAGTTAGTGGTTTCAGCCCTAGGTCCCCACCTCAACAGGTTCCATGTGACTCGCTGCTGCATCACCATCCCCTGCCCTAGCTGGTCTTGCCCACAGTAGCACTGCCACATATGGGAGTGGGGCACCAGTTCTAAGGTGTCAGTGCTGCTCCCATACCTGCCCCCACCCTCCTGAAATGAACCAAACCATGTCTCCCACAGGCCAGATCACCCCAGTACCCAGGGTTTGATCCTGAACACAGTGAGTGCTCTATGCACATGTATGGAATTCTGTGATACGTGTCTGTTGCCCCCATTAGACCACAGGCCCCAGGAAAACAGGGACCAAGTCCCTTCTGGTGGGAAATGTGCCCTAGAGGGCACAGAGGTATATGAGGTAAATGAGACAGAGGTATAAAGAGCTCCTGTGAGACGTGGAGTGCCCCATGGGCTCTTCATGAATAAGCAGTGGACAAACCTTGAGGGGCAGGTGGTCCTGCTGCAGATGGAAGTGGCTCACCCTTTGGGGAGCCAATGATCTTTTGCTGGCCTGGAGCTGCCCTTCGGGGCAACACAAATGCTGCTTGGATGGGCAAGGGGCCTCCAGCCCATCAGGGGCATGTGTGCTCTGCTCCCACCCACTCTCCCACACACACACAGCACTGGGCAGCCCACAGAGTCCTGGTCTGAGTAGAGGAGATACACCTCAAGGACGCCTGAGCCTGCCCTACAGAGAAGCTATGCGCACGGTGAGGCATCCACTCAGGACACCACTTGCCAAACAGTGGTGCACAGGCCTTGTTTTCGCCTCCTGGCTTGGCATCATTTTCTGCCCATCTTTGGCTGTCAAGGGTTGCCCACACCATGTTTGGCTGCTGTGGATCCTCCCAACCCTCATCCCATCCAGTGGCTGTAGTCCTTGGAGATGTGTCAGCAGCTTGTTCTCATCAAGTGTGTCCCACGCCCACTGCACACTCCGCAGTACCATTTCTCACCCAGAAACAACACTGCAGAATCCTTGTTAGCCAGGACCAGAAGGAGCCAAGAGACTTTCCTGAGCCAGGCTGCAACAGATAGGCAGAGGACATTCACACCCACCCTGACACAGGACCTGAGGTAGTGTCCCCTTCTTTCCGTCCTCTCCTGTCCTCACTCCAGTGAAATGCATTCTGTGAAAGCACAGGGCCCTAATGATGCTATTCATTTCTCTGCAGTGAAACTTGATGAAATTTCTGACTATGAGTTCAAATTTTCTTCCCACTTGTATCTCTTGCCACTCCTCTTGATGGGTCGTTTTTAACTTCTGGAATTTGCTCCTTGTGTAACTGCATATGTCCACAGTTCAGTACAAGAAACTAGGATTCTCATCCTGTAACACATATGTGATAACAATTTTCTTGTTCTAAACGACTCCCAGGACATGCTTGCTAATTTTTAAATTCAACATTATGATGAGGCAATGTTAATAGGAAGCTAATAAAGGGGCAGTCCCCATTTCTCTTCAGACACTTCCAGGTGCACCTGTGGACAAGTCACCTGGTGAGTCCAAGGGCCCTTTGAGTATGGTGTGCCTCAAAGTGTAACTCACAGATGTGTCTCACAGATGCACCTCAAAGTGTAACTCATGGGTACGTCTCACAGATGTTCCTCAAAGTATAACTCACAGGTGTAACTCACAGCTGTGTGTCATAGGTATAACTCACAGGTGTGTCTCACTGATGTGTCTCACAGGTGCATCTCACAGGTATGCCTCAAACAAGTAACTCACAGGTGTGTCTTCCTAGTGTAACTCACAGCTGTGTGTCATAGGTACAACTCACAGGTGTGTCTCACAGGTATGCCTCACAGGTATAAATCACAGTTGTGTGTCATAGGTGTAACTCACAGGTGTGTCTCACAGGTGTCTCATGGGTATGCCTCACAGCTATGCCTCAAAAGTGTGTCTCACAAGTGTAACTCACAGCTGTGTGTCACAGGTGCAACCCACAGGCATGTCTTTCTGACTTTGTCAAGTCCACACCATTAGGGTACCCAGGAATCACCAGGAGGGAAGTGAAGTGGGGAAGCAGAGAACTGGTACAGCATGTGTCATGAGCAACTACCTCTGCAGTTAAGAAGGCTGGGGCATCTACACACAACTGCCATCAGAGGGCTCAGGGCTCCTCCAAGAGAACTAACTCTCTGCCACTCCTGGACCTTTATAAACCTGCAAGCACAATAGGCTCCAGGGGCAGGGAAAGGGACAGGTCATACCATGCAGGTGCCACAGGTGGGGCTGGGTGCGTGTGCTTGTGTTGGGGTGAGGGTGTGTGGGGAGTGCAGGCAGCAAGCTCCCTCTTATGCTGACCCTCGTGCCCACTAGCACCCCAAACTCTTAGTCCAGCACCCTCCTTATCCTCACCCACTCCCTACATAGAGCCTCTGGCCACTCCACACTCCCTGGACAGGTGGTGCCTCACAGCCAGGTCACTGTACTCCAGGCCAACACAAATAGGAGGCTCAGCATTGTAGAAAGGAGGCTCCTGCAGGATAGGAATTAGGCTAAAGACAGAGGGGGTGCTTGCTGACAGTGAGGTGAAGCCGGGGACACCTAGGTTAGGGTCTCAAGGAACTAAGGGCTGGGCATGCAAACTGAGGACTCAGAAGCATGGGGTCCCATGGCTGGTAATTCCGCACACCCAGGCACACCTGGGCTTGGTGCTGAGGGTCTGAGAGACCAGATGCCGGGTTGGCTATGGAAGCTGTTCTGAGACTGGATGCAAAGCAGAGAGATGATCACAATGCCCACCCACAACACCTTCCCTCCCTGTGTCCCCCACTCCCCCATCTCCAGACAGAACTCACTATTTTTAGGAAAAGGTGAAGGCCTCTGGGCAGATCCCTAAAAGGAAGCCTCTGCATGATTAACAGGAGGTACATCACAGTAACAAGGGCACGTGCTGTGCTAGGCCAGCTGGGCCCATTGTGGATGGGGCAGCTGCTGCCAGTCTAATCTGCCACCCAGTAGGGACAGCTATTGAGGCACCAGGCAAGCGCCCACCCAGAAGCTTCCCTGGAGCTGGGACTTGTGCTAAGGGAGCTCTAAGCACCCTGGCTCTGTGTGCACATGTGCACATGCACACACAAACACATGCATGTGTGCAAATA